CTATCAACGCCCTATGACTCATGACTGTAAATGACAAAGGCAAAACAAAAAACTTCTATAACACAGAAGAATATCTTTATGACCTTGGAGTCGGCAAGGATTTTAAGAACAAACAGAACAGAACACAAAAAACACTAGCCATAAGGAAAAAGATTGATAAACTGAACTACAAAAAAATAAGAATTTCTGCTCACCAAAAGATAACCCTCGGAGAGTAAAAAGGCAAGCCACAGAGTTAGAGAAGGTATTTGCAACACCTAGAGCTCACAAATGACACATATCCACAATATATAAAGAACATCTACAAGACAATTTTAAAAGGCACAAGAAATCTTACTGAAAAATGAGCAAAGGCCATGAACAGGTAACAGAACAGCATATCCAAAGGGTCAAAAATATACACGAAAAGGTGCTCAATCTCACAAGCCACCAGAGAAATGCAAATTAAAACCACAATGAGATCTTTACTATTCTAACCCACCAGTGTAGCTACAATTAAAAAGACAGTACCAGTGTTGGTGAGGATGCGGAGCAACTGGAACTTTCACGTACTTCTGGGAGTACAAATTGGTATAACCAGTTTAGAAAACGGTAGGCAGTAGCTACCAAAGCCAAACATATACATCCCCTGTGCTCCAGCAATTCCACTCTTAGATATATATCAAACAGTTGGGGATATATTAGGTCATCAAAACACATGCAGAAAAAATGTTTGTGGCAATAGCCCTAAACTAGAAACAACCAAAATGTCCATCATCAGGAGAATGGATCAACAAATAGAGGAACATGCATGCAGCGGAATGTTTTTCAGCAACAAGAATGAACAATCTACTGTATATGTAACAACATGGAAGAAATCTTACAAACATAATGTTGGGGGAACAGTGTTAGACACAAAAAGTATATACCATGTGACTCCACTTACATAAAGTTCAAAGCCAAAACAATCTAACTGATGGGGGTAGAAGTCAGAATAGTGGTTACCTTTGGAGTGGGGGACAGTGACTGGTAAAGGGAGGTTGTTTCAGGATACGGCCATGTTTTATTTCTTGATCTGGGTGACAGTTACGTGAGTTGTTCACTTTGTGAAAATTAACCAAACTGCACACTTACGGTCTCTGCACTTTTCTATGAGAATGTTAAGCTTCACTACAAAACCTACTTTAAAACTCAGTAGCTAAATACAATCAACAGCAACCAAAACGCCAACGATATTAAAATGTCTAAGGATGAATGGCTGGGGGTCGAGGCTCATGAAGTAATTCCAAAGTCTCAGGTTTTAGTGACTGAAAAGCTGGACTTACTTCAAGTTTATGACCATAAATCTCAGAAGGCTCTCAACACAGCCAGGTAATCCTGCTTCCTTACTGCGTCCGTGTTCCCTCCCTGAGACAACATTAACACCCTGCCTTCTCTCCTCACATCACTGACACCATCTCGGCTGATGACCCCACCATGCACCACACTGAGAAAAACCCACTGTAATCATGTAGGAGCACCCCATTCCCCCCCCACACACACACACCAGCTCAGCAGCCTGCCAGCCATCTCTACCCGTATATCGTACTCACATCTCCAGCCTGGGCCTCTCTTTTGAATGTGGAATTCACACATCTAATTGTCTAAGACACATAAGGTATCTCAAGATAACATGGCAAAAAATACAAAACTATTGGTGCCACACACACACACACACACACACACACACACACACACACTAAAATATCCACTCCTCCATTAATTAGCCTTACCCATTTCTGGAAATAGTACCCCCTTCTTTTTTTTTTTTTTTAATTTTTTTTTAACGTTTATTTATTTTTGAGACAGAGAGAGACAGAGCATGAACAGGGGAGGGGCAGAGAGAGAGGGAGACACAGAATCGGAAGCAGGCTCCAGGCTCTGAGCCATCAGCCCAGAGCCTGACGCAGGGCTCGAACTCACGGACCGTGAGATCGTGACCTGAGCCGAAGTCGGACGCTTAACCGACTGAGCCACCCAGGCGCCCCAATAGTACCCCCTTCTACAAGTTGTTTAAGAGCAAAAAAAAATCTAGGAGTCGTCCATAATAATTTTTTTTCCTCTCCTCTCTGGTACCCAATCCAATTAATAAATCCTGTCAATTGTATTTCCAACATGAATTCAGAATCCTACCACCTTTCACAATCTCTATAGGTACCTCTCAAGTCCTGACCACCATCACCAGTCACCCTGTCTAACTGGTCCAGCCGCCTCCAGACTTGCCTCCAGAGTGACTTCACTGAAGTATATGCCAGATCGGGTCACCCCTGCAAAAACCACCCCAGCCTGGCTCAGGGCAACAGAAAGCAGCTGTCCGTGGATAAAGCAGCCTGCAGACGACATAGGGATGGTGTTCAGGGCGGGAAGGCCACCCAGGGGGTATGGAGGTACCCAGACCCCTTCAAATTCGGAGAAAAGGAAGCAGGGGTTATTTTTAGGCTTCCTCTCCCTTTGAAACTCCCTTAGGCCTTGAACAATGCTGAAGGGAGATGCATCACATAGTAGATGCCAGTGGTAGTCCACCCACAGCCCCTGTGCCCTCCCCAGAGGACCCCCGCAGACATTCCTGTACACAACACAGGCTTTGTGCAACTGTCTACCTGGCCCAGGAGCCTGCAGAGCACACACACAGGTCAGGCGCCAGGAGCCAGGGAGTTCGTGCTCCAAGTGTTACTTCCCATCGGTGAGGGGTAGAAGTTGGTGCGTAAGTACTAAAGCTTCCTCACCTCTCAGCAGAACACTTGTGAGGGGGGTGCTGGATTGAATCCCAGTTGCCCACAGTGGTAACCAACTCACAACATGCATGAACTTTCCTCCCTTCCCTGTCTCACCTCCCCACGCCCCCCTTGTGCTTCCAGGAATCTGCTCTCAAAGAAACTACTTGCACAGAAATCCTTATCTCTGGGTCTGCATGCTAGGAAGCCCACACAAAAACACAGAACGTTGTGTCTTTCCTTCCAAAGGGTAGGTTTTCTATGACACCAGACGACAACAATGCCATCCTAAGTTTATATGGACAAAAGAAGAGAGAGATCTGGACACAGATTGTGGACACAATGTTTTAGAAAAATTAAAAAATAATAGGAGATTTTAAGCCCATCCCTGGGTATTAATTAGCCCCATCTTTATTTATCTAGCCATGTATAAATACATATAAAGAGTACTCCTGTAAAAGAACCTGGAAGGACTGTGTTAAATTCCAGATACATAACTGCCCACTACTGTCTCTAAAGAAAGAGGGAAGAAGGGGGCACATTCTGCCCCAGCACTGAGTTTCACTTGTGTGAAATCTAATTTAAGGAGCCATGTGCCCCCTCCACACACACACAGAAATGTATGCACCACTCAACGATCTGCAAAACTTCCCTCCAGTTCTTTTGAAGTGAACTCACCACTCACCCCAACCGCACTCCCCAGATATCAGCGCTGTAGAAAGTGAAGGGCTTGTCCCTGCTGTGTGGTTTGGGGTAAAAAAGGAGGCAGGATTAAAGCGCTCATTTCAAGTCCCAGAAGTAAAATATGACTTGGCCTACGGCAATCCTAATTCTTTCCAGAACTCATCCCGGAATTGCCCTTTTAAACAACCAGTCATTAACCCAACTCTGGGTCTTTTATAGCTTCGAAAACCGATCGCGCACATCATTTATTCATTAGGCTTATTATTATTATTGTTATTGCAGAAAAGCAGCGAATTCCCGGGGCGCGGCGCAATGGGGTTTTTGTTGGGGGGGGGGTGCGCCAGTGGGGAGCGTCGGCGAGGACGCAGGGCTGGGTGGCAGGGCAGAGGTGCCCGGAAATCCCCGAGGAAGGATGCCGCGACAGCGCCCCCGCCCCGCGCGCTCCGAGGCCACCGCGCTCGGGCGCAGCTGCTGCAGCAACGGGGGAATCTTCTTATGTAAGTGAGAGCCGCTGACATCACCTTCGCCGCGAGCGTCGCAGCCGGACTAGGCGCCAAAGGACCGGCGCGCGGGCCTAGTGCCCCCGCCCACCGTCGGTTCGTTCCTAAAGGATTCTGCCGCCGCCTGATTTGACCGACCGTGCGCCAACGGACCCTCCGGAGCGCCTCTGGGAGGGCAGATGACACAGAATGACATTTAGTGGGAGCCCTAGTGTGTCGCAAGAGTGAAGTTAAAGGGCAGCAAAGATGCCCAAGGGTCTTCCACACGCGGGTGGATTTGGGTGACAGTACGCGGTGGAGGAGTGGCGGGGGGGGGGGCGGGAACGGGGACACGCCTCCGGGATGCTCCGAAGGCAGATGGCACACAGAGCCATTTAGTAGGAACCCTGCGCTGGCGGGTGCCGAAAAGATGCCCAGGGAGCTCATGGATCTCTCCAGGGCCCGGGCCACTCCTCCCTCCACGCCCTTCCCCGCGGCCCCTCCGGGCCACAAGGCTGGAGCAGAGGCTTTGGAGTTCACTTGCGAGGCGTGCTGCGCCGCGCTGCGTCGCACCCCAGCTCAAGGCACAAGTTCGGGGCTAGGCGCAGACCCTGTGGTGACAGTAAGAGTGACAAAACCCCTACGGCGTGGCAGAAGCCCTAAAAGGACACTCGCTACCCCTCGAGCCCCCCCAAACACGCATGGGGGGTACTACATAGGGCTCGGGGCTGGGAGGCTGGAAACCACAGAAGTTGCACCAATCCCCCGCCCCCCCGGGGAGGGACGGGGTAGATGAGCTCCGGAGATGAATGACAGACCCCCCCCTACCTCCCGGGTCCCCATACACGCTCCCTCTCGGCCCGCGGCTGCCCGCGAGTTCCGAGGCCGCCCCTTTAACTTTCTCCCCGCCGCGACTGCATCCCTGTCTCCAGCCCAGCCCGAACTCCCAGCCAGAGGAGGGCTGGGGTGGGTCCCGGAGGAGGGGAGGGTGGGGAAGGGAGAGTAAGGTGCAAGCTGCAGCGGCCGCGGCGCCGGGATTGCGGTGACCGGGGAGGGCGCGAGGGTGCGGCGCCGGAGCGGAGGGGCGGACAGCGCGGGTACTCACGGACTGCCTCCTGCTTGGGGTCCAGCGTGCCGAGGACGCGCTGCACGCCACCGAGCTTGCCCTGCAGCGCCCAGACGCGGCGGTGGGTCAGCTGGATGTCGCTCTCAAGCTCCTGGAAGAGGCTGCACGCGTGCCGGGCCACGTCCGAGAGCTGCCGGAGGACGCGGGCCAGCGCGGCGTTGCTGACCGCGCACAGGTCCAGCATGAGCAGCACGGCCGCGGCCGCCGCCGAGGACGCCTCGCCCGCCGCGGCCGCGGCCGCCGCCTCCGCGACCCCCGCCGCGCTCTCCTCGCCCGCTGCTGGCGCCTCTCCGTGCGGCGGCTGCGCCTGGTCGGTCGGGGCGGGCGGCGGCGGCCCGGGTGGCGCGGGGGGCACACGGGGAGGTTCCTCCGGCCCGGGCGCCACGGCCTCGTCCCGTCGGCCGGGCGGCTGCAGGGGCGGCGGCGGCTCGGCGCTGCCTCCGTTCGCGTCCTCCGCCGGGCCGGGCGCCGGGCGCCGCTGCCGGCACAGCCATTGCGGCTCCACGATCCTCTTGGCGAAAGGCATCCCGCGAAGCCGGGCCGCGACTTTCTGGTCTCCTCAAAGAGCCCCTGGCGAGCGGGTAACCGGGCGCGCCCACCTGGGCGGAGAGGGAGCGGGAGTCGGGCAAAGGCGCGACCGGGCGGTCCGGGTACGCGGGGGCTCCTCCGTTCACCTGGTCTCCTCCTCTTCCCCGCCCCTCTAGCAAATCAGTCCACCTGGTCCTCCTCCGGGCGCACCGTTCCCTGGGTAGGATGACAAGAGCCGGGCACGGAAAGCCGGGGGGTGCGCCTGGGCTCTCCTCACTTGCTTCCAACCCCGGTCGGCTGGCTCAGCTCCATCATTCCTGCCTCGCCGTCGCCGCTGCCGCCGCCCCGGCCGCTGCCGCCGCCACCGCCTATATAAATGGGCGTGTATGTGTGTGTGTGTGGGTATGTGTGTGTGTGCGTGCGCGTGTGTCTGTCTGAGTGTGTGTGTGTGCGCGCGTGTCTCGGTGTGAGTGTGTGCGCGCGCCTCAGTTTGAAAGTACCCCGGCGCAGGCCTCTCCCCGCGCGCCCCTCGGCCGCCCCGGGGAGCGACTGCGCCCGGGATCTCACTCCCTCTCTGGGCGGGCGGGGAGGAGGTTTCGGAAAGGCGCTTTGAAAACCCGGAGAGAGGAATCCGCCTCCAGCCCGGGCGCAGGAGGCGGCGCGGGGGCGGCGGGGCGGACGCAGGGCGGAGGGAGGCCGGGCGAGGGGGGCGCAGCGCCCTGTGCGGCCGCTGGGAGTCACTGGTGGCCTCGCCGCGCCCGGCGCGCTCCGACGCGCAGACACTTCCTCGCACCCAAGGGTTAGGATAGAGACTCTCAGCGTGGTGGGGGCGGGGAGTCCTCAAATTGAGGCTGGGGTTGTGGGTAGCGAGCGCAGAAGCTGGAGGGTGGGGTACTGGGGATGCGGCAGATTTGGCGTGTTGGAGCAAGTTGCTTCGCCGAATTCCAGCTCTGAGCAAGTCCTTTGGGTTCTTAGCAGGAAAAACTGGGCTGCCCCTCGGAGAGCCCCGGGCTCCGTGAGCGCAGTGAGACAGATGGGCTGGGAGGTAATGGGGCTCGGGCGCTTCCCAGAGTGGCCAGGGTGCGGTCTATACCTCTTCCCAGGCAACTCTCCAGCCGCTTGCGCTGGGTCAGGTCTCTAAAGAATATCATGAATGAGGCCCAAACCACCAATGAGCGAAAGCCCCAGAAAACTGCTTGCAAAACTCATTGACACGTTAGGTGAGATAAGCCGGATCACCTGCGTGTTACCCTACTGTGCTGATCACACACAGGGATTTTAGAGTTCTTTATCGGCGAGATGATGATTCCCAGAAGAAAGTTTTCCCCTTCAGCTAACTGAAAGGTATAATTTCTAAAAATGCATGTATTTCGATTGCAGCGGGCTGCAGGCTGGATGCTGTCAGGCTAAAACCTAAAAAAAGAGTTTGGGAAATGTTAATAAAACACATGCTTTCATCCCTCCAAAAAGAATACTGTAAAAATATTTTTTTTTATTCTAAAGCCACAAGCCAGATCTTGGGAATGCAGCCTTCATTTCATGTGTCTAAAGAGAACATGGAAAAAATATGTTTTATGGCAACAATAAAGTCCTCCAGTCCTGCCCTGGTGCCTCCTCTCTCCCTGCCTTTAGTGGGAGCCTGCACAGGGCCCCACAGTCAGCACTTTGGACCGGCCCACACTTTGGTTATAAAGGCTTCAACAGACCCTTCTCTTATTTTACAAAAAAAAAAAAAAAAAAAAAAAAGGCAAGGGAATGTCCTCGTTCGTAAAAGATCCAGGGTGGGAATTTGGGGGCAAAGAGCCGTGATGTCTGCAAGGTATACACAAATGGCTCAGTAACAACAGCAAGAATAATGATAACAGTAATGTCCATGTACAAAGAAAAGAATATGGCAAAATAATGTGTCTAAGTAAAGGGCATTGGGGTCATCGTACATTTCCTGCAACTGCAAATTTGATTTTGTTTCCAAGCAAACAGTGAAAGAAAGAAAACATTTTTGGAAAAGGGTGTTTTAGGAGTTTCTTTTTTTTTTTTAATCTCGCGAATCTAAAAAGCTTAGAGCTGGTTGTTTTCAAATTTAGCTTTACTTGTTAATATGTTCAAAATTCTGAACATGCGTTCTGCTAGGTGGCCAAGCCACACACGCCTCCCTAAACAAATGGAGGCGTAAAGAACAATGAGGGGTTTTAAAGGCATCCAGTTAGCAAGCCTGTGGCAAGTCTGCCCTGCCTCTCACTGCCCCTCACCCTGCGCTGCCCTATTAATAGCTTCGGGGGGCCAAGGGAGTGGGCCCAGATGAGCCCTGATGTAGGCAGTGAGTGGTGTGGGGCTGATACTTCTAAGGGGAGCTTCTGGACATTGTTGAGTTCCTGCCCCGGACCCCAGGGCCCCTGCCCACCGCCAGAGGAGACTGAAGAAGAGGGGAGGAGGAGTCCTCCTCCAGGCCCAGGAGCGAGGAGGATTCCAGGGGGCGGTTAAGTTCAAGAACAGGCTAGGGATGTTTGTGTCTGCCCCAAAGTGGTCAGCATAGACCGAAGTCAAGATTTCAAAATGAATTCAAAGCACAGTTCAACCATGCGAAAAGGAGAACTCTCTTTGTAATCTCCTGGGCTCCTGGTCATGTGCTGGCAAAGCCATTTGGCTCAAAATTAAAAGCTTTGATTTTGGCTTTTGAGCTCCTTCCCTCTCAGTCCGCTGTAAGGTACGAATAAAATCGCCTCTAGAAAGGTGATTGTTATACATCCGTAACGCCACCTAAATAGACACTAGGTGTTAGCTTTGCAAGCACAGCTTTAAGGGGCACACCTGGGTGGCCCAGTCAATTAAGCCTCGGACTTCAGCTCAGGTCATGATTTCCAGGTTCCTGAGTTTGAGCCCCGCATGGGGCTCTGCTGACAGCGGGAAGCCTGCTTTGGATCGTCTGTCCCCCCCCCCCGTCTCTCTCTGCCCTCCTCTGCTTTCTCTCTTTCTCTCTCTCTCTCTCTCAAAAATAAACATTTTTTTTTAAAAAAAGCACAGCTTTAAGACAACCCCCTGGCCTCACTGTACCCCTTCCCTATGTGGCTTACCACCCCCCAGCCGCCCCCACACACAGTCTTCAGTTTGGTTCCTAATGTATAGAACTGAAATACTGAAATCAATAAAAGCGTAGCAACCACATGTAATCATGATGAGATGTATGAATATTCTTTTTTATGTTTATTTATTTAGAGAGAGAGTGCCCACACAAGCGGGGGAGGGGCAGAGAGAGAGAGAGAGAGACAGAGACAGAGAGAGAGAATCGCAAGCAGGCTCCACGCTGTCAGTGCACAGCCCAACCCAGCATTCAGTCTCATGAATCATGACATCACGACCTGAGCTGGAATCAACAGTCAGATGCTTAACCAACTGAGCCACCCAGGTGCCACCTATGAATGTACTTAATGCTGATGAGTTTTCCACAGGAGCTGTGCCTTTCTTATTCAAATCCCCAATTGCACCATTTTACTCTGACCTTTCCCACAAAAAACCTGATGGAATCAGGGCTGGTATTGGCAGCCAGACTGGTATCGGCATAAGACTACTTATGTGTGCGTTCACCTCTCTTGATCATGCGGGCCCCCCCCCCCCCC